AAGCAGGTTATTAACTCAGGCCCAGCTCTGCTCAACCCAGAAACTGTGAACCACTCAAATGTCAAGTGCCAAAACTCTAAATTTCAGCTGTTGGTTATCATCTCAGATGACAAATTCTAACAGTGCTTTTTGAAGATGACGTCTATCTGAAAACGTTGTTCAGATATAGTGACCTTTTCTAAGAGACAGTTCTGTACCAGTAATTCTGTTCTTTTCCTCTGATCATAGATACATTTTATGCATTGCAGTATTTAAGCATTTGTCAAAAGTATTTAATTCCATGTATTCTTAAAACCTATACCTAAAAGTTATTTTCATTGTTTAAATAGGTGAGAATGCAATATTTTTTCCCTTTATGGAAGTAAAACAGACTTAGGTATCAGACCTGTAATACACCTATACATTAAGCATCATGTGAGATCCTTAGGATAGTTTTAGATGGTGGTGAATATTTATATTCCCACTGGCATCCTCTCCAGCCTCAAACTGGCAGTCCCAAGACAGTGGAGGTTTCATTTTCAAAAATCTCCTTCCAGTTGCTATTGATGGTATGTATGCAGCAGGTGCTGGACAGAGCCAGTATCACCGACCGCTTCTGTACAGTTGGTGATGGCATACACTAATACTGCTTGTTGCACAGATAGATGGCATGTAAATATTTTTTTCTGAGGCTAGCCAAGCAAAGAAGCCTTTACTAGATCTCTGCCAGAAAAGTCTGGTGATTACACTCTCTTTGCATAAGTTTTTAGGTTGCAAGCTCTTCCTTCCCTGCAAAGCCTCTTGAAAGTGACTCCAGAAAGGCACACAAGCCAATTAATGATCTGTGTGCCTCACTCCAAAAGGAGCATGCTGGTGGATTAACGTCAGTGAATTTTTTCTGGGTCTATGTTCATGCCTCCTAAAATATCAGAAAATATGCGTCCTGCGTATCCTTTTGCTCTGTCATCCTTTCTGCTCTGTTTGGTCAGCAGAGTCCCCAGCAGTAATTATGACTGATCAGACCCTACTATGTAAGGTACCTTGTATGGAAAATAACATATGCCTCTGACTCTAGATCATCTTAAGATGTTCGGAGAATTTGAATTTTGGTTGGCTTGAAGTAAAAGGGCTTAATGGGTTATAGAGGGCTTTGTCACTGATGCTGGAAAATGTTTAACATTTTCTTTTCTTTTCTTTTCTTTTCTTTTCTTTTCTTTTTTTTTTTGAGAGAGAGAGATCACTGTAAAGCAATCCTCTGCTCAGAGTTTTAGGAAGTATAGTAGAAAAAGAACAGAGTGCCTTTGCAGGGCTGACTCTGTACAGTTGAAAGTCTTATACCTTGCTTCCTTGACTGCCCGTTGTTATCAAGGTGGTTGCTATTCTCCAGTCCCCTCACTGATGGAAAGCTGATTATATCTTCAAAAACAAGGCAGAGCTGAACATCTATGTTTCTGGGTAACCAAATAAAATCTTACAATATTTTGCAGCTCCTGCCTGCTCTATTCTTGAAAATAGCATTCTCATAAATATGAATGTATTCTGACTATTTCCTAGCAGTAACATAGAACAGATGACTACAGAATTATTCATAGAACTTTAGCTCTTCCCTTTAATGAGCTCTTGGATGACACAGAAACAGAACCAAAAGATAGGATATATTTCAGAAAAAAATAATTGCATGTAATCTAAGGCCTCTGAACGCTAGCATGCTTGCTTACTTACACAGATTAGTACAGAATTTTCTTGACTAGGAACTACAGCTTTAGTAAATAAAAGTATGAACTTCAATGACATTTGCAACAAATGCATGTCAGCTCTTGCGCTGTCTTCATTCCAGTTGCATAGTGCTGGGTTGATAGTGCTGGTTGTTTTGCGATTACAGTATCCTAGCATTATCTTGAAGTTCATCTTAATTGCATTTTAACAGTTCTTGTCAGTGATTAAAAAAAAAAAAAAACCCTTCAACTTTGGCATTGATAATTTATTCACTAAAAGTGGTAAGAACTATAAGGAAGTTGAGGAAATGCACAAACTAGTTCTGTAAGACAGCTCATAAAAACTACAGATGCCTGGAGAGAGATTGCTGACTTAACATTTAGGCATAAAGTTAGCGTGCTGTGTGCAGTGATGTATTACAACTGTTGTTCTAATTTTGATGAAACACATGCACATGTGTGCACCTACCTTCCCCAAATGTCATACTGGAAAAGCTTATTCATGTAATCTAATTTTTACCATAGATTATATTCTTTTTCTGGATTGGAAATAGTTATATCACACAGCCTTCTTCCTAAGTTCACTTAACTATTAGGATTAGTGTTCAGACTGTGAACAAAATTAAGGTGGATTTCTTTATATACAGAAAGTAAGTAGTGTAGTACAACTCTTCCATGAAAAGGATGACAGATATAAAACAAAGAAGCTTTATTGCAACATTTGGTATTCCTGCCAGTAAGCAGAGATGTCAGGAAAATCCAACAGCTAAGGTCTAAAACAAATTTCTTTAAATTTAGATGTTATGTGGTAGATAATGAAGTTCACACATAAAGATTCAAAGGCATTAGTATGTGCAATTTATAGGCATATTTACTTCCTATTTCATCCAGAAGCAGACTTTTTTTGCGGGGGAGGAGAGGGGGGATCTAACCTTCTTTATTTTCTTTCCTTTAATATTTTACCATAGTATTTTCTCTCATCCCTTTTATGGGTGGTTCTTCTACTTGGTAAAAATGCTGCTTGCCCTATCAATATTGCCTCCCAAATACAGGCAAGATGCAGTTGAGATTCATGTAATATCAATGCAATTGCATCAGATATTGGATACATCCCAGAATAGTTCAGATGCCTCCTTCGCTAGGAGCAGGATTTTTTAATATGCGCTTTCCTGTGTATAAGAGCATATAGGCAATGGAATTTCTGGCTCAAAAGAGAATTTGTTTTCATTCCAAATTGAAAGAGAATGTCAATATCAAAATTACCCCATCTTTCAGATTCTATTAAAAACCTAGTTTTATTAACAGTAATAATTTTGTTTTGAAAGTGCAGCATATATGAAAAATGAGAGTACATTAAATCAATATTTAGCATTATACAAAATTGACACATATCTATTCTCTGTCCTCCAGAAAAAACTTCCTATAAATATTTTTGACAGGCTCTGTTTATACGATATTTGCTTAGACTTGGTTGCAAGTTTAAATATGCCTAATGTAAGAGTCTATCTTTTGATTCCTCCATGTGCATCCTACATCCTTTTTGGAAAGCAGTTGTATCACTGAGAACATTTATGTGAATATAGGACCTCTGGTTATTTATATGAAATCGAGCATACCTGCAGCATATCTGAAAAAGTGCGTGTTATTTATTTAACATACCGTAATTTTGGCTTTTTATCAGTATTTAGCCAAAGAAATAATTATTTCAATGTTGTATTGAGCCCAAAATATTTTTATGTCAGTGAGGCGTGCCAACTGTAGTTTGGTTACAGGAATATATTTTCTAATACACTTTTTTTCCTCATATAGTTAGGTAGATGATACTTGTTTTTGAGAAAATTTCTGTCTTTAAAAGTTACTTTTTTTTCCCTTCATTTCTGATCATTATCATTTTGCTACATAATGTTATTGAGAATGAACTATTTTTTAACTGCGACAATAAAGCAAACCTGGTTTCAAAATCAGGGCTGAAGTCTAAGTGCTTCCAGTCTCTAGAAACAGTGCAAGTCTAGAGCAGTGCTATACGTCATGTTGTACCTTACTGCTTTTACAGAATGGTTCCAACTCTTTCAAAAGGGGTCAGGCCCTTTTAAAATCATTTTATTGCCTGAATTATGGCAGTTAGGTCTCTCATTTACACCTGCGCAAATGTTGCATCTAAGCTGCAAAGCTGCTTTCTCAACCTTGTCCTTTTGCAATAAATCAAATAAACCAGGCTGCTGGCATCTCTTGAAAATCGAGGAATGTCTCTTACATTTCTCTAAAGTTTGTGTTTCTGATTTTACTCTAAAGGCTCACCAGTGTTACCAGCAAGAAACAATGTATCAATATCACTGGAAAGAGTTACTAAATGTCTGTACAAAAAATATATATATATTTAAAAGTTAAAATGCAGCATTTATTTTTAAATAAATCCATTTTATATGAAACTTCCTATATATGTACAAGAAAAACTGAGCAAGAGAGATGAGTGTAAGGGGAATTAGAAAAGAAGAAGGAGTAGTTTTTTTTTTTAATCAAAACTCTACACATTATAGTGAATTATATATTACACACACCCATATTCAGTGGATGGCAACAGAAAGAGGGACGTAAGGGAAAGAAAAAGGAAGTAGATCTGAATTTTAATCAGCATTATTGGTGATGATGCTATGAAAATCTGAGACAGTCTGAAACACTGAATGTATTGCCTTCATAGTTTTTCTAACACTAATTGCTCATATTTTAGAACATAAGATAGGAATCTTTTCTTCTAATGTGATCCAGTGCTATGAAGATCTAGCCGTAGATCTCTGCGACTGTAACCTTACTGACAGAGTAACAATGGAGTATGTAGATCTGTGAGAGACATTGGTCCGCTGTTCTCTTGACTCCTGTCACAGGCCATGTCATTGTGTTCACAGAGTTTAAAGAGGTGCAGTCACCATCTTTGAGCTGAGACACTAAAAGAAGTTCCCTTTTGCTAGGCTTTATTTGTTGCCTTGGTGAAACGATAACACTTTATAGGAAAACGTATGGAAAGCTATGGGAAAACCCAGTTGTCCTGGCCAAGAATTTCTGTTCTAAAATAGACAGTAGGGTTCATGGTTGTATCAGTCTGTAATGGCTTCTAGGTTTGCCTATACTATAAATATTTCAGCTCTTATCTCCTCTTCTGGAGTGCAATCCCCTCAACATAGCATACCTGAACATAGCATAACATACCTGACTAGGTATTGTTAAGGCAAATGACACTACCGAAGTGACAAAGTATTTGCTTATATGACTTTGAGTTGTCATAAATGTTGTAATCTGCTTCTGTTCTAGCTTCTTCAATCCTGAAGAGAGAGAAGCGGAAGAGAACAAAAAATGTCCATTTTAACTGCGTTACTGTGTACTACTTCACAAGAAGGCAAGGCTTCACCAGCGTTCCCAGCCAAGGGGGAAGCACGTTGGGAATGTCCACTCGCCACAACAGCGTGCGCCAATACACGCTTGGAGAGTTTGCAATGGAGCAGGAGAGGCTTCACCGAGAGATGTTAAGAGAGCATCTAAGGGAGGAAAAACTTAATTCTCTAAAATTAAAGGTAAAAAATTCCTTGGAGACTTTGATCTCTGCCTAATCCACTTAAATAGGCAGTGTTAGGGTCATTCAGATGCAATTTGTGTGTTTTAAACAAAACTCTTCCCTTACTATCAACTCTAATTTCAGTGGAAATACTGAATTTTTCTTTTTTATTTTACTGAAGATATATTTTTGTTTGATAATACCTAGTACTGCTGTAGCTATTGTTAACATGTACCTCAAAGTGCTTTTCAGGGAGGTGGTTGTTTATTCCCTGTTTTCTACAGATAGGAAACAAAAGCAGAGAGACAGTGTAACTTAGCCTTGAACAGGGTGTCCAGCGGAAGTCTGGAAGCACCTGGAAGAGAAAAAGTCTTCTGAGGCCTTGAACAGTGCCCTATAAGACAAGAAATGGTAACATCATGATAATAAGTACAGGAACTGAAACGGCTTATTTTCCTGGCTAACTTGAGCAAATTTGGAAAAAAGTAAGAAACAGTAATACTAATTTTTAATGTACTAATATATGTGATTGTGTAGCATGTTATTACCAGCATGGCTGTTTAATATTTCGCCAAAGGGTGATTAACCGTCTATATCATTCAGTTGATCAGAACTAGAGAATACCAAGTGAAACAAATCTACACTATAGGTTTGAAGCTGACTTTTTAAATATAGCAGAATAGAGAAAATAAATGGTGCATCCAAGGAGAACAGAACAGATGAGAAGATTATGTTCTTAATGTGTCCCTTGTATCTCTTTCAAATTAGTATCAAAACTTACATTTTGGTTGATATTTTTGGTGAGTGAAGCACTTCCTGTATAATTGCTTGTGTCCCATACGTTTTGGGCTTTTTTTCAAGTGAATCCTGTAATTAAAACTGAATAATATTTTGAATTGTAGCCAAACTACTGTGCTGCACAGCCCTTTTTCTTTTGTGATATTATATCTCTGTTTCAGACACCACTACGGTTGCCCAAAGCAATCTGGCATCCACCCAGTTTGAGAAATGCCTCTTAGCGTTTTTCCCTCAGAGCTATATCTGAACCCCTGCAGAAGTGCCTATGACTCTTACTGTTGTAATTACTTTTTCAGTCTCCTAATTGTTTTTTGGTTTAATAGCTAAATAGATGCTTAAATAGTTTATAAAAATTGAACGGGCATAATAAGAACAAACATAACATCACTCAGGACAAGGGGAAATTGAAGACGGATATTTGTACAGGTTGGAAGCAAAAGGCTTGAGTATTATTAATTTAACCACTGAAATAGCGAGATTATACCTCTGAATGTCTTCAGAGCAGGATCTTCAGGAGCATTGTACGCGAATTGAGCTGTGTCAGTGTAACCAATGACTCTGCATAGATCCCTTGGCAGACTTCCAGAACTCAGCTCAGATCATATATTCCCCGGAAATACAGATAGAGGATGAAATGGAGAGATTGAGGAATCCCCTGTGGAATGAGTAACGAATAGTAAGGCATGCAAATATTTCATTTTTCCTTTTATTTTTATTGGGAGAAAGTTAAGCGAGAAAGATCATAAATCCTATCTACCTTTAAAGACTAGATGAGGCCTCCTAGCCTTCATCTGTACTGAGTATGGAGCTTGCCTCTGTGTGCTTTCATAATTCACCTCCTGACTGTGATGGATCTTCTTTCTTCTTTCAACTACTTCACTCCAGCCCACTCTTTTTTAAAACACAGACTCTACTTTTGGCTCTTCTTCCAAACACAATGCGTTCTTCCATCTGCCCTATCATGTCTTCTCATGCACCATGAATACTTAAGTGGATGATAATCTCTACTCTGAATGTTAAACTCCTGCAAAATCTCTTCATAAGTATTGAGTGAATAATGAAAGCCTAATTTGCATTCCTCCCTGTGTCTTAATTGTTTCCTTTTCTCAAATGGAAAAATTCTTACCCTACGCTTAATTCAGCAGTGCCAAGATTCTTTTTTCCTTGATCCTCAGCAACTGATATGCGAATGGTTTACTAGCCTCTCTGGGACTAGTAAACTGACTCCAGAGTTTCAGATTCAGATATTAAGAAATCATGGTTAAATCTTCAGAATCCTGAGAGCGTCTTAAAAATTGTGGCGTCTAATTAGTGTTAAATCTTCAGTAGAGTAAAATACTTCTTTTCACTGCAGAGCATATATAAAGGAAACAGAACACTTCCTTCTTTTTTTTTTTTTTTTTTAATCTCCTATAATGAAAACACCTTTCTTCCCCAAATCTGAAATCGTTGATTTATATTGAAGAATCACTGTAAAGCGCTGAGGATGTTTTATTTGCTTATGACTATTGGGCCTTGCTGATTTCCTGTTACAGAGATGGAAGAGCTGTTTTGCCATTTGCATGAGTTCTAAAAAAGCACAAAAAGGAAAGGCTGTAGAGTTTTACGGTGATAATGTCAGTGATTATGATCTTTATTTGAAACATACTGATAGGGATTTTTATCTAAATTTCTGTACATCTGCAAAGAAAAATGAAGAAAATGAGAAACTGCAGTAAGGCAAAGTTTGTTCAAAAATTATTTTTTGTTTGTTTGAAAAGCCACATGCAAAAGGAAAGAGATTTTCATTTTTTTTTTAATCTTGGTTTTCCTAGTTTGTTAATTTTTTCCTTTAAATTAAACTATTCAAGTCCATAGGTAGAGAGCACTATCTCTTGTAGAATTTGTTAAAAAATAGATATACAGTAATATAGAGAACTGAGACTGTATGTTTATTGTTTTACTTGCTAGAAGTAGAGAGTCAAATAAGAAACTTCTCTCAGTTAAAATCCGAGAAAGATGTTAAAATCATCTTCAAGTGACTTTAGCCATTTAGCACCAGCACTTTGGTGCAGACGCTGCTGGTTGTGGCATACACACTATTAGCAGCTGAGTGTGAAAATTCTAATGGCGGTGTGGGCATAAAGGCCATCTTGTCAGGATGAACGGTACAAGGTAGGCTTTACTTTAATATGTTGCAATTTGAGGAGACATTATGAGTAAGCACAGTAAATTAGCTGGAATGTTCCTTACTGCTTACTCATAATGTTTCCTCAAATGAAGATGCATTAAAATAATTAGCATGACCCTAATAATATTAAGGCTCATGGATCTGTGAACTGATAGATGAAACAGCAGAGATTGTTCTCATTCTGAAAACAGGACAAATGCAAACAGAAAAGGATGTGCGTTTGCCTCTGACCAGAATTATTCTAGGAGTCTTTTTGCTTTTTTTTAAAAAAAGATATATTTTAAAAAATTCTAGCCCTTTTCCTGTCTTTTTTATCTCCATAAGACATTAGGGAATGTGCAGGAATACCTGGCAAGGAATGGTATAATCCTTGAATAGCTACTTTGAAAATCTCTGAAATCTGAAATGCTTTTTCGTGATTTCTTTATAAGCTAGGTAAAAAGCTATTGAAGAAACCTAAGTGTTGTGATTATGATGGTGCATATGAAGGTGCATGCTCAGCAATTTCCAAGAAAAGAAAGTAGCAGCATACTAACTGCATTAGACATACATGAATGAACTTAATTCATTCGGGTCTATGATGGAACTGTCAGTAATTGGTAAATTAGCTTTGTATTAGGACAGAGTGTTCAAATTTCAGCTTTCTAGTCCTGCCTAGGAACATACACAAATCTTTGACTCAAGGCTGTATTCTTTCTAGTGTACATAGTCATGAACTATTTATTTTCTACACTTGGACGGTACAAATGGAAGCCAGCAATTCTAACAGGCAGAATTAAAATGAGCAGATGTTCAATTTTCCTAGAGAAAACTGCAGAAACCAGAAGTATATTTTTTGTGTTGGTGTCCAGTGTAGGAAATTGTAAGGAATAATTTCCAGTTAGGTCAGGCAAAGGTGCTAGGTGTCTAACCTAAATTTTTCGGGTTTTACAGGACTGAAGTGAATTTCGCCCAAGGACTTCACATACGGATTGTCATGAAATTTACCTTTAGGTGATAACTTTTACCCATCTATATGCCAAAGTTTAATTCCGATAAGCAATGTTAACGCAATCAGGAGAACTTAATGTCCCCCTGTAATTTTGAGTAGGAAAATGTAATTTGATGATCCTTTATAATCTTTCTCCTTCTGTAGTTACCCAATCACTTGTATGAGATATGTTCGAATCTTGCTTTTCTCAACCTTTCGTTGAAGTATTAATTTCGTTCTTTACATCTGTGGTTGTGTCACATATTTGGTGTTTCCTCTGCCGGGCAAAAAGAACCAGTCACAAAAACAAAAAAAAATTTCCCCGTCTGATCATTTGATGCAGAGATATTGTATGACTGATATTGTAGCTCCTGTCTATTTGGTTGCAGAAGTACACTGAAGTCCATTAGGAGCAAGTATTGGCTGCTAATCAAACTATGTGATATTTTGATTGATCAGTTATTCTCATTCTGACCATATTTAATCTATGAAATACTGACTTAAAGGGAGGGTATTAAAAAATCAAACAGTAAAATGAAGACTGAGAGGATAACCCAGTGCTCTGAGTGCGGGCTTGTGGTAAGAGACTTGAGTGCCCAGCTATATAGGGCAAGAGGCAACAGGCACAAACTGAAATGCAGGAAGTTCTGTCTGAACGTGAGGAAAAACTTCTTTACTATGAGGGAGACTGAGCACTGGAACAGATTGCCCAAACAGGTTGTGGAGTCTCCTTCCCTGAGATATTGGAGATATTCAAAAGCCATCAGGACACGATCCTAGGCAACGTGTTGTAGGTGACCCTGCTGGAGCAGGGGTGTTAGGCTAGATGATCTCCAGCGGTCCCTTCAAACCTCAACTGTTCTGTGATTCTGAGTCCAAACCATATTGTCATCTTTGCACATAATCTATGTGTCAGCGGATAATAGAATTATTCACTTGGGCTATCTGAAGTAAACACAGTAATTAGGTGATAATCTGAAAGATTTATGAGTTGTTATCATTCTTGTTATCAAAAAGACAGTATGTTCAAGCTCCTAGCTAAAAGCAGTGAATATGCTAGGCAGAAAATTACAGATTGTTAAATGAGGAAAGATCAGTAGGCTCCAACTAAAACCCTAGATCTGAACATTTACAGAATTTGCATCTGAAGGTGAATTTTTCAATTTTGGTTCCTCCAAAGCAAAAATAGAAGTAACATCTGGTTTATTGTTCGAATAGTTGAGATCAACTTGTGTTTTGTGCGAGATCTGAAAAATTGTGCGTGTCCATGTTTCCCATTCTGGATAATAAATCTCTCTTAGTTAGTGGTTACCCCCATATTCTCAGCCCCTGAGAAGCCTCACAAATGCATGTCATTTTTTCAGTGTGGTATTTCTAAAGAGAAACTAGAACATACATGATTTTTCTATAATGGGCACCATTAGCATTTGTTCTCTGGGTGACAAATTTGAGAAAAAAACCAGAGGATACAACAAAATGCAGTTTTATATTTTAAAAAAAACTGTACTGTTCCATTCCAAATAATGATTTTGTAGACTTTTTTGTTGACTAATAAGAGTGCAGAGTAATCCAGCCAAGGACTCGGGATGAGCTAAAGTGCTCTGAAACTGCAAACTGCTGTCTAATCTCACTTGATGCCCTGGTATTTGACTTTATGGTCTGCTGGCTGCATGCAGTATTCAGCATCTGACTGGTAGGTACTCCTTAATGCTTTTCTGCTGTGTAGATTTACGGGGTGGGAGGAACACGACAGGTTTGGTATGGTTTTGTTTGTGCCTTTGTAAGTTGAGCAGTTGCAGCATTCTCCTCAGAGGTAAAAGCCCTCTGCTCCTAGGACTGAAATTTAATTTTTAACAAATAGTCATAAAATAAAATACAAAAATAATTACAGAAGCATGGACTGGATCAGAATTCTTCCCCCTTCCCCAATTCAATTTTAAATTCTGATAGGCAATTAAATAACAGTGATCTGTTTAAGAAGTGGTTTGAGCCATCTGTATTTTAAACTGTCTTATCTGGAGAAATCAGAATTCTTAGGTCATTCTCCTATTGAATGAAAAAAGAAAGCAAAGAAACATAAATATACTGTACTTAGCTGTTCCTAACTAACAAAAAAGGAAAAATTAAAAAAAAAAAATCTGTAATCTGTTCAAAGGATGGCATTCTGGATTTGAACATTCAGGCTAAGTTGCATATATAATGGGGGTATTCCCACACACTAGCTTCAGGCAATTAATTCAAGATGATTTTAATCAATCCGTGGATTTACCGATCTCTCATTATAGATTGTATAGAAAAGGGAAGACTTCTAATATTAGCTTCTCTCCTAACTCACTGAACTGTAATACATCAAAGTACCTGGTGTAAATAATCTCTCCGTTGCCCCAGGGTCAGGCAGAACTGATTAGGGAGCTCTTTCCCCTTTTTTCCTAGGCCCTATCAAAAAAGATGAATAATAGAAAATAGAGTAGGAAAAAATATAAAGGTAGTTTGAGAGGACATTCTGAAAATGCCTGCATTTAAGATAAAGAAAGAACTGGAAGTATATGCACATTAAGGGGTTTGAACATTATAGGGATTACAGCCATGGTAAACAAAATGAAATCTGAAATAAAATGAAGGCATTAAAATCTCTGAAGGCGGTAGTTAAGGAGAGAGAGTACACTGGAAAGAGAAGGAAACAGTAATGCCTATAATGCAGAGCTGTGGAAATGGCAGAACACCTCTGCATGAATGTTCTGAATTGCCAAAGGAATGAATGATTACTGACGCTAAGGAGATTTTTTCCTTGTGTAGTGTAATGTATAGTCTTGACACAATATGTAAGCACCACCAGTCATGATACTGGAACTCTTCTTCTCAAAGGGTATTGCTTTTAACCTGACTTTACAAGGAAATAGCTGAGTAATCTTTTTTCTCTGTGATTGCTGTATCCAGTTGCTATAAACACAAAACTGCAATCACAAAGACAGTAAAAAGTCAATAGAAATTCACTGTTGACTAATTCAATTATGCCATGAAGTGACAGCTCTAGTCCAGAAGGTTGTGGAAAGGCCAAATTGTTAATATAAATGGGAAAATTAAAATACCTAACCCAGTTGGGAACATTAAAAAAGCAGAAACAGTGATATGGGTAAGAGTCAGGACCGCTGTCTTACTTGTAATCATAGCTAAATGGAGCGTACGGAGCAGAGGTGACAGGATTTAGTAGGAAAAAACAGTTGACTACATAGTGATAATTTTTCAACGTCTAACACTGAAATGCATAAAAACAGGAAACAGTAGCTATGACTTCAGTATTATATCTCTGTGTGAAACTTGTGTCTGAAAACCTGTTTGGGATAACGGGCCAAGCTGAAATTTTCTGCAGCTTAATAAAGCAAACAGAATTAATTTGAATGCTTATTTTTCTATAGGTAAGAAACAGTCAAATTACATTCACTGGGAGCCATTTTTCTGAGGTCATGGTGATGCCCATGATGAAACAGTGTTTTAATGCAAACAACACTTGAGATTTCACCAGTGTACAAATATCACATAATTTATATCATATCCTATTTACAAAAGTATGGATGGGTCCACGTGCTCTGCTAGTGTAAGTCAGTAGCCTCAATTCAAAACATTGCTGAGTACACAGTGAACGTTGGGAATATCTTTTTTTGTTCTTCCATTTTAAGCACAATGATTTCATAGAACTATAATCAAAGAATAAGCATTAATTTCATGACAAAACAGTCATATAACTGCACTTGCTACAAATGTTTGCTACATGGTACTATGCTCAGTATGCATAACTTGAGATTGAGAAAATATATCTCCTTGTAGCGAACGTTACCATCCGTCTCAAAATTTTGTTAGCGCTTGCTATTCTTTTGATTCTGAAACAATTTTTCTCTTCAGAAGAACTCTAGCTCTATAATATGGCAGATATAGCAAGCCAGCTGTACCATGGGTAGGAAGGTTACCCTTTCCTCAGCACAGTAGATGAAAGAATGTGGCCTTTTTCATCTTTTTCTTTTCTCCTTGAATACATACACACCTTTCTATAAGAAATGATTTACAGGCATGTGCACTGAAGTGTGCTAATTCATGAAAGCGGTATTGGAGTTTTATGCTTGATGCTAATGGTCATTTAATTTTGAAACAATTTTTAAAAGATTTGAGAGGAAAACTATACGTAGGAGATAGTTTAGGGAACTCATAGTGCTAGGGAACTCTTATTTACAGACGGTCAAAAATTCATCTCGTTAGGAAACAAGCACAAATTGTCTAAAAGCTTTTCTCAAGATCCCCCAGAAAAGGTTAACACCACATTCCTTTGTTTCTTAGTTTATTCATTAGCAACCTAAGAATAATCTGGACTGGTTAGTGAAGCACTAAAATATATGATGGCACAAAGCTATTTAGGTTATTTTCAGGACCTAAGAAGACTATAAAGAACTTCAGAAGAGCTATACGCATGAGCAGCATGAAATTCATTGCAAATAAATAAGAAGTAATGGAGGTAGAAAGTAGGTAAAATTAAGCGATTTACAGATTCAGAAATAATAAGTAGATACAGGCATCTGCCCAAACACTTCAGTGGAAATACTGCTCAGCTGTACAGATAGCAAATATTGGGCGGTTGTTGGGCTACATGAGGAACAGGACGGAGAACACTACATAAAATACGTCATTTTAGAAATCTCTGATGTAACCTAATCTGAAACAGTGCTGGTAGGAGAACTACTAGCTCAAGAGGGATAATGAAGAATTACAAAGTGCCCAGAAATAGGAACTAAAATAAATTAAGGGCTCAGAAAAATTATCTTATGCAGAAATATCCTGAAGGCTGGAATCTTATAAAGTCATGATATCTGCCAAACTACAGCCTATGATAAAGGACATAAAGAACAGCTAAGAAATTGGAGATTTAGAAGACATTCAGTTTCATGACAACTGAAACTAAAAATGCAGATTTAATTAAATGAATTGCCTTCTCATCCCTATCTGTGATTATATTATAGAACTTGCTGACAGCTGTGGAGACCAGAACAAAGCATGACAAGCAATAGGATTTTTACATATGACTTTCTACATTTGTAATTCATTACACGCATTTACATATATGCCACATATCTGTAAGTATAGTCTACACATTATGTTAATTGTTCTGTATTACAGATGACAAAGAATGGTACAGTGGAATCTGAAGAAGCTAATACCTTGACACTGGATGACATTTCTGATGATGATATTGATCTAGACAACACTGAAGTAGATGAGTACTTCTTTCTACAACCTCTGCCAACAAAAAAGCGAAGGGCACTGTTACGAGCTTCTGGGGTGAAGAAGATTGATGTGGAAGAAAAACACGAGCTGCGGGCTATCCGCTTGTCCAGAGAAGATTGTGGCTGTGACTGCCGTGTGTTCTGTGATCCGGAAACTTGTACTTGCAGTCTTGCAGGCATAAAATGTCAGGTAAATATCTATATTGTTGTCATTATTTAAATAACAAGGGGTGGGTGGGTGTGCATGTATTTTTGTTGTTGTTAAAGTGGTAAGTAAACATGTTATGGAAAATCATTAGATGAATTATTACATGATGATGCTTGTGGATCTCAAACTAGTTTTTTAAGGCCCAGATTTAAGAGTTTACTGTGCGCAGTACAAACCTATCTCCTTAAAAACGTTATTTATGTTACAATTGGTTTAGGTATAAACATTTAGGTGGTATTTTTTCATTCACATTCAAATACACTGCTCCTCACGTTCTTCTTTGACCTTTGTCTAAACGTTCAAATGGAGGCAAGAGAAGAATCAGTAGCCTGCAGATGTCAGAAGGGATATTAGCTTTTAGTCTAGAGATAGTTCACATATCGTTCAAATGTGAATTATAATCCAAACTCAGTAAGAAGCAGTAAATGAAACCCTGTGATACTGCCCTTACTTAACATGCAAATATCAGAAAAAGAGAGTACAACCACTAATATGTCATGCAGTTTTCCTCTCTGAACTGAAAAGGTATTTTATGTATGTCACACATTTACATGGTCTCCTATGTACAGCTTTAAATGTTCCAAAACGTCCCCTAAAAGATGTGTCCACTAATTCTCTTGAGTAGGTGTTAGTACCTGAGTTCATTTCTTCATGAATAGTTTTTTCATAATCACGTAAATCCAAGCAAAACTCTCTCTGCTGTTCTAAATAATGTATTCCTTCCTTTGCTGTTTGTTTTCATCTTCAGGTGTCTGGACTAGATCAGATAGACTAGACACTTTATTTGGTTCTCCTCTCCATTATATTTGATGCTTAGGTATCATAGCGTAGATGATGAAAAATCACAGCCCCTAAGCCATCTGATTGAATTGCCTGATTTGTGGATTCACTCACATTTTTAGATATTTAAGATAGGCGTTATTAAATGCGTAAGTTCTGCCCACAGTCTGTTGAGCTTATAACATTGCATCTACAATTCACTGAAATGTCTTTTAAAACATATTCAGGTTTCCATTCCTACCTCCTGTGGTCAGGTGTCCCCCTACTGGAAACTTTATAAAGCTTTTTATACATAATTCATGTTTCATTAGGTTTCTGATTTCCATGATTTTCATCAAATTTGATAACTTGTTTTTCTGCTAGTGATTTTGTCAGGATTTGAACACAACATTTAGTGTAGCTGTAGCAGAGCCATAAATAGAAAAACTGTGTATTCTTTGTTCCACTGTGCAATGTGTACAGCTATGAAACGAAAACATATTTTTCCTATTGTGCAACATTATAAATCCATGCCTTACTGTTTCTTGCAGTATTGCTAACTCCAAGGTTAACCATCTGAATTATTGTTATTTTGGGTTATTCTCACGAGTACTTCTCAGGTGAATCCTACTTCACTGTTTTATTTCTCTAGGCTGTCTAGGGTCTGTCATAACACCAGGTTTATGATAAGCATTGTTAATCTGAGCTTTTTTTTTTCCTAAAAGGTGGATCGTATGTCTTTTCCATGTGGTTGCACTAAAGAAGGGTGTAGCAATACAGCTGGTAGAATTGAATTTAATCCTATCCGTGTACGGACTCACTTTTTGCACACAATAATGAAACTTGAATTGGAGAAGAACAGAGAGCAGCAAGTTCCTGCACTAAATGGCTGCCACAGTGAGATAAGTGCACACACTAGTTCTGTGAGTCCAGGACCCCATCCAGCTGACTATTCAATTGCAGAGAATTTTGAGATTGAACCTGAACCTCAGGCTGCAGTTATGCATTCTCCGTCAGCTGAGGACTTGGACTGCCCAGGAGAAGACGAGGAAGAGGAAGATGGGAGTAGCTTTTGTAGTGGTGTTACAGATTCTAGCACACAAAGTTTAGCCCCTAGCGAATCAGATGATGATGAAGAGGAGGAGGAAGAGGAGGAAGAGGAGGAGGAGGAAGAAAAAGCAGATGATTTTGTGGAAAGCATGGGCTCCCATGCTGACATGGTGCCTCTTCCTTCTGTCCTTTGCTACTCTGATGGCACTGCTGTGCATGAAAACCACTCTAAAAATGCCTCATACTACACTAACTCTTCAAATCTGTATTACCAAATAGAGAACCATATTGCTGGTGCTCCTAACCAGATTGGTGAGACTTACTCGGAAAGAGATGCTGTCAAGAATGGTAGCCTTTCTCTGGTGCCTTACAACATGACATCAGAACAGTTTGTTGACTACACGCGGCAATCAGAGGAAACTTTTAGCAGCCCTCATTACCCTTCTCCAAACCCCTCTGTGATTGTTTGCTGCTCATCAGCTGAAGGTGATAACAGTGCTCCATGTAACAGTTTATACACTGAACATAGGCCAAGCCACCCTCAAGTGGAATTTCACTCATACTTGAAAGGTCCCTCTCAAGATGGATTTGTTTCAGCTTTGAATGGTGACAGTCATATACAAGAGCACCCTCCTGAGACTTCATTAAACCTCCCAGAAAAGAGCAGACTGCACGAAGAGTGCATCAAGTCACCAGTGGTAGAAACGGTACCTGTTTAATATTAACATTATTCTAGGACTGAATTCCTTTATTAAATGCACTCAAATTGGATTTCCTAGAAGCTTACAGTTTTTTTAAAGATGTAGCCAACACTTGGACTATGGTCAACGTTCCAGACACTATTTTTTTTGAGATATATTGGCAGTGGCATTGCAAAAAACAGTTCATGTAAAGAGTTAAAAAAGAGACACTGTCTTTTGATTTAAAACAAAAAAGTATAAGTTAAAAATATAATTTCAAAGTAGCCTACCTATCAAAGTATGTGAACCCTGCCAAGCTTTGTGAATCAACGCTTCATGTTTTTGATTGTCGGGCCTGTGCAAGATTGTTTAAAAAAAAAAAAAAAGGTACTTTGAAATAATCACGTTTAGGGTCCTGATTTTCAACATATCTGGAAAGATGGTGAGTTTTAATGTAAAAGTAGTTACTGTACAAAATGTTTTAATTGTTCTGTACTGTATGTATTTAATTTATGGTAGTTTAGTACTCATGTTTTGATAAAAATGAACAACATTTTCATTTGAACAGAAGATCCATATCTAGTAACAAAGAGCATGTCCACTTTTCATCTGGAGTACCATGTTTTTTGTTTTGTTTTGTTTTTTATCGCCATTCCTGGTAATTTATCTTGAAATGCATTTTTAGAGTGTACTATTTTCTCTTTTTACTGTTTTTGACAAACAGAAGAGTCAGAAAGGGGGCATTTACATTTTCTAGAAAGATGAAAGGTAGACAATCTGCCATTAAAATTTGAATCAGTGGCATTCTCAGAACTGACCTCCCCCTCCCCAAAGAAAAATGATCTTGTATATAATGGCAAAGCAGTAGTTTAAGCTTGCACAGCACCTTTTAGCCCTACAAAACATTCAGATATAAATATGCACTTTAGTGCCATTTTGCATACTTTATTAACTATGGGAACTGTGAACTATTTTGGAGAAATGCCATAGCTCCAGAATCTGAGGTACATGTAACATAACGGCATCCTAAAATTCATTTTAACAACAAAAAAAAAAAAAAAAAAAAGGTAAATTTTCCCAAGCCAGCTTATGAATATGTCAGCAAGCAATTTATAAAGGCCAAGCTTGCTGATCACAGCTTAAATGAAGCATGGAAAACAGTGTGCAAATGTCTAGGTGTTCCTAAATATTTAGCAGTTTTTAGAAAATATAAGGCTGCCTTTTTGTTTGTTTACTCTTGATCGTATCCCAGATTTACAGAGCTGCTTGGGCTAATTAGATGCAGGAAACCTGCATATTCAAGGAGGAACATAGCTTCAGAAATTACGTATCTGTGACAGTTTGCAAGCAAACTATCAAATGCATCATATGGATATCTGTTACCTTGTACTCTCTTTGTTTTATAATGAGAAGGGAATTACAAGACCTACTATGGTGCAACCTTAAAGTTATTAACAGAAGTTGCTTTCTTCTAGAGAAGGAGATGTAGGAGCCTGTTTTTCTGTACACTGAAAATTCTGCCCTGCCTTATTTTAATTTCAAAATCTGTGTTGATATTTTTGTTCTAATGCTGAAATATTATTTATTATTTACCCAGTAGTTTGAAATGTAGACGTGTCTTACTTGCTGAATTAAGGATCAGCATCTTAACTTTTATCTAGTCAAATCTAAATGGCTAGCAGTATGCAGGTAAACACAGTGTAAATTTTAGCTCTGTAACAGTGACTCTTCTGATTAGAAGTTCTTTATAACAACATGTACAGTACTCCAGTAGAAATGATGGCCAGACTTAAACTTGCTTTTTAAAAAATAAGGCGACTTAACTGTTTTTTAATGAAATCTGTGCACAATGATTTCCAGTTTTTATTTTTACATAAATTGGCAAAAGCTTTTTACTCCATGTAGTAGCCAGGAAGGGTATTTATTTATTTATTTATTTGTTTCCACACCAAGTCCTACATGTTTTATCTTTATAAGAATTGCATTAAAAAGTCCTAGCTCTCTAGGGACTGGATCCACATTTGCAAAGTATTCCAACTCCTGGGAAAGTGCAGTCAGGTTGATTCTCTGTTCAGCAGTTCCTTGGCTCTGTTCCTCTTATTCACAGAATACTCTAGCCTCTGTCTCTAAAGATTGAGTAGCCAGGTAAATGCATGTACTCTCCACTCTATAGAGTAAATACCCACCTTTATTTTTAAAGAGAAACATGTTAGGAACCGTTCATGAAAAGTTCTGCATGTAAGAATGAAAACTGTATAACTCTATTCAAGATATTTTACAGGCAAATATAACAAGTCTCTATATATAGGCATCTTGCATTAACAGTAGGCTTAAATCTGGCAATCTTACTCAATCAACACCAGCACCAAAAGCACAAATCCCTACTACTTGAGCTGGAAGAGTAGCTATGAATCAGGAGCCGCTTTTTAACCTCAGTGTGTGTTGGCCACTGGAGGATATGCTCATGCACACTTCACCAGGGTATTACTCTCAGGGGAAAGTTAAATGAAATATTTGTGTTTCATTATTCACCCCCTTACCGAGCAATAAGAAACTTACTTTCTTGGTCCCTATGCTTTCACATGAAAAACATCCTTGATAATATTAGCAAGCACAGTAAGTAAATAACTTTATAAAATACATCTCAGCTAGCTTTAAAATACTGAGATGGTGATTATTTAATATTTCCATTGGCACAGGCTTCAGAGCCAGAATTCCGTAACATTAGCATCTGTATCAACTTCTGCGTACCTAGATGTATATCTTCTATGCCGTTGTGGCATCAGAGATGAATACAGCTAAATTCTCTAAAGCACGCTGCACAGGATGACAAGTAGCCGAAACAGTGAGGGGTAAAGAAGGCAGTGGCTATATAAAGAGCTTTGGCTACACTATTTCCCCTTGCTTAAAGGAGCTAGTTCATGAGAGTTGAAAAATAAAATATGCCTAGTAAAGATTAATATTGAGAAAAGAGTCTTAATTACTGGGCCATGGTGTAGACTAGTGTAGATGATTGATAGTAACACTCTCGTTTTGTCCTTCTTCAGCTGATCTGCTGTTTCATGATCCAGATTTGATTTCAGGATACAAACGAAAGAAATCTTGTTTAATTCTTGCAACAAGTTTAAAAGTGAAATCTTTGTTTATAATAATCGACAGAAATTTCCTGGTAGCTATACTAAAATTATTAACAAGCCTTCTAAGAGATATAAAACTGTTGTTATACTGAGGAAAAAAAAAGAACCCCATCTTCTGTTAATATAGGCTACACCTGTTCCCCAGACAACTCTTCTAGCATTTATAAATAGACCAGCGTGAAAAAATAATCACAGTCCTAACCAAAGTAGATATGCTAATTGGGCTGTGAAATTGAGAGTAGGCTCTAGAAACCTACCCCTTGGTTAGACTTTCAAGTTTTGCTTAGAAGGAAGATAAGAGTCATCATATAAGGAAAAGTAGGCTTAATAAATCATGGGATGGAGAATTTTTTAGTTTCATTTTTCTGGGCTTATAAATAATAATATATGATGTGTCCCATTTCCCAGGTAATTATCATTAATGTTGATAACCACGCCTTTCCTTATGGTTAGGCTTATTTCTGTGTGCTAAGAGTTAGTTATGTTAGTAAATGATAACCATAGAGCAGCGTGTGCTTCTGAATAGATCTGGCATATCATTTGTTGAAATGTTTACTGATAGCTGTATCAGCTTTATTTCCCAAGGTATTTAGCTACAAATAATTATTCGTAAGAAGGCAGATAATAAACTAGCAGACAATTCATGATTACATAGAGGCAGTTCAGAAAAATTAGTAATGAGAAGAAAAGCATGTCCCTCTGTAAGAAAAAAATAGAATTTCCACACTAAAAATCACTGAAACAGCACATAAAACTGACTTTTTCCCCATAATTTGAACTTTGACTCTCTTGGGAAATGCATTGTTAAAGTTTATGTCAGTTTATAACTGATGTTAGAGGTGAAACTGGAACTGAAATTCCCGATCAGCTGTATGCTTTTCAGATCAGAAGGTTTTACTATTTTGCATTCACACAACTTGCTGATCATGATTCAGAATTTGAGTTAACCTCTGTCATTTTTTTTAAAGGTCATTTGATTATTCTCAGTATAATCTTCACGTCTCAGTAGATCTTCAGTATATCTCAGTATATTCACAGTATATCTTCACTTGCTATAAATATGGTTCAGCCCTCTCACTGATCTGTTAAATTGTTCTGAGTCAATTAAAAATATTATCCTGCCTTTTGTACAAGTTCTAAAGAAATTGTGTGTTGTGTTCATGGTGGTATTACTCACTGGATTGCTAACAGCTATAGATCCAGTTTCTCCATTTACCTGGGTGTCCTATTTCAGTAAATGCCCTAACAAACCAATCATGTAGCACCCCCACAGTACTTGGGAGTCTATCATCATCTTCAGTAAACCCCATTAGCTTGATAAAGATTGTATACATACATTTGTGCAGAAAACGTGCTATGGATTTGACTATTTCAGATGTTCATGACCTCTTGCTAAAATGTGATCTACTGAACAGAGTGCTAGGCTAGGACAGAAGAGAGCTGGGCTCTGTTGTTGGCTTTGCTTTTGTCCAGCTTTGTCACTCCCCTTCTCTGTGCTCTGATTTGTAAGGAACTTGGATGTGCAGTGATTAAAACAAAATTCTGTAGAACAGCCAAAATAGCATTCACCTCTTTTTGGCATGATAACTAAATTTCTGTAGTACGAACTAAGTCACTTTCCCAGTCCAGCCCAGTCCAGCTCAAAAGTGAATAGAAATTGTACCACAGACAAGAAACAGCGAAAGCAAGCTCTTCTTTCCTGGGACCAAGTTAAAGAGCAGAAAATTTAATAACAAAGTTCAAGGTAAAAATGGGAAAATTACAATAAAATATATGTTTAATATATAACATTTACCTATTGATTGCTTAACATTAGAGCAGCAAGACTGTAGTTTGCCTACACCATCACACAGGGCAGCAAAAGCAGCCTTCCTTCTTTGCCAGCTTAATAATTCAGTCAAAACGCCATGCCTAGGCTGCCTCTGAGGCAAGAGGCGCCCTTACTCAGTGCTAAAGCAAAAGAGACATTGGACCCACAATATTGTTTTAAGGGCATTTGCTAAATAAGAAACTCGTGTCTATACTGTGGTCTATACTGTAAAGCAATGTCATGATCTGGGCTTAATTATTGTGCCAGTTGTTAAATTTCCTGAAGGAGTCAGGAACAGACATTATAGAGGATGATATGAGAAATCCTTAAGTGTTTAGGGATGTTAAGCTTTCTTACTAGGGCTAAAGAGTATCCTCTACTTTATTATGGTTACAGAACATGTGATGTAAAATACATAGAAAAAACAAATTAACTCAGAGAATATAT